CTTAAGCATATTTAGAGGCCTTTTTTCTTGATTGCTATTTTCTCTGGAGAATTTTAAAAAACAAAATACAAAATATATCTAATTTGTATTTGTTATGCATTTAAAAAAGTATAATAATCTAAGTAAACCAAAAGGAATTTAATATTTTACCACGAAACTTTTTCGGAAGGAGTTAATCTATAAAATATCACACACACACACACACACACACACAGATTATGAATCTTAAAAATTGGTCCCAGATTAATCCATATTAATTATACCGTTAATGTAATGTCATTTCTCTTGTCTTTTTACAGATTTTTATTAGAATTATCAAAATTATATTATATATTAATTATTAAAAATCGTCCATATATAATTATATCATACACTGAAAAAAAAATGATTGGACTAACTAAAATTATAGTTACTCTTTGCCCCAACCACTTATTTTAATAAAACGACTTTTTTAATAAATATTTTTTGTATTTTTTTTTTTTAATAAAATAGTAGTAACATGCATATATAGTTATTATCATTAACATTATAATAAAATTTAATAGTTTTTTTTACCATAATTTATAGCAATTATTTCTCTGCGTAATTATAGTTGCAAATACCAAACATTTTATTCTCAATGTAGAAAATATATTGTTTCATAAAATTATAACAACATAAAGGACAATCATTCTATTTTATCGAAAAAATCCGAAATGACTCACTACTCAATATTATTTCTTGCACTCATTGCATCTCGATAAGTATTCTTTACGTTGATTACTTCCACTTTCTCGCGATTTCTGTCGCCTCTGTTACATCAATATCGATACCAGTCGCTCGCAATCATTTTTCCACCATTTTTTTTCCTTAGCCGACATCGCGATCGCACTGCTCCGCCGGACCGCATTTGTTTATTCGGGGAAGTTGTTTGCAGTTAGTTAGCGCTATGGTTAACGCGACGGCCTTACTATGAGGGGAAGAGGGAGAAAGTGCACGCCGTATGTCAGTTGCCAAAGCCCCCTCGATCGCGACGGATGAATTTCTTCGGTGCGACGCCTGCGACATGCCCCGTCGATTAATGCGCCAGGAGGTTCAATGAATAATTATCGCGACGTACGGACTAATTCGGCGACAAAGGGTGCGAAAATTTATGACAGCTATTTGTCCGACCGCGCTCCTTGGACTCTCGACGAACCATAAAAGTAAGAGGTCGATTGACGGGTTTCCGTGGGTTTACACGTCGATTACGGCAAATCGTTGCAATTTGACGAACGTCCTCTGATGAAATCACGATGACTAAGAACTTATCTGCGTGAGAAATATTGACTATTGCTTCTTAAACGTCATTAATAATTAGTCTGAGAAAGAAACAACGTTAAATTTCGCGCAAATTTCAATATACCGCATACGTGGAAGAGAGACCGTGAGAGAACGTGTGTATTAATATTCTTACTGATATATTATCAGTTTTACTTCCCAAAATTAATTATCGAGAAGCAAAATATATCAGAAGAAACAAACGGCCGAATTATCTTAAGTCGTTCCTCTTGAACTTTCGATCGGGTTGACCGACAATGATTGTAGATCAGAGTTTAATGATAGTATTATAAATTGCACGTGGCGACCGCGACACGAGTTAATTAAACACGAAGTGACTTTATCTCGGCTATTAGCGCGCGCAGTGTGAGCGACAAATGGAGCGTTAGATTGGCCCGAAATTCGCGACGACGAAATGTAGCATAATACCGACGCGACGACAGGCGGCGTGTCACGAGGATCTAATGGGCAGCGTGCGCGAATGCACGGCGCCACGGACGATGAAATTGAAAAAAGGGACATAAAAATAAATCATGACGGGACGAGGAGCGAGGAGGACGCGGCAACGCGCGGGCGCAATGGCGCAAATAATAATTGTCACGAGTCAGCGGGGAGGGAAATCATCGGTCAGGCCATATGTGCCCAGCAGGGGGCGAACTACTCTTCGACCAACGATAAATAACCCAATAAATGCTGCAGTCTAAATACTAACAACTATCAAATGTAGTCCCTCGTCCCTCGCGCGTGCACGACTCTCGCTCCCGTTGACAGTCGTCAAAAGTGCCCCACACGCGCATCGATGTTTTTTTTTCACCCGTAACGAGACGAGAATTATCAAGCGACAGTGCAACAGCTTCGCGTGACGTAAATGCGAAACACCAGGCGAAATTCACGGGGGCGGGAAAAATTCGAGAAAATTACACGGGTCGTTTTATCTCACTTGGATTTCGTGCAAGTAAAATAAAACTTTCTATTCTATGCCAAAACACATTTGTGTATTATTATTATTATCCTAAAAAATATTCTATGTATACATAATATGTACACGGAGACAATATTATATAATTTCATTTTTATACAAGTTCTTTGCAATTTTACTACAGTTTTAAGTGCAGCAATAAACCGTAAGTTTTATAAAAATATTAAAAATTTCAAAAATTTTAAAAATTATAACTAACAATATTAAAAATTTTGCTAGAAATATAGCAAATTTTTAATAGTACACTTCAGTTTCTAAAATATATAAATAATATATATGAAATTAAAAAAAATAATAAATTGCTGCAGAATATCAATTCATTTCTCGATTAGCAAATTCTAAATATAATTTTTGCTATAAAATTCTCTTCGCATAATTATATTGTGCGTAATCTGTAAAATAGAATATTATATATTATGTAAAATAGAATAACTATCTATGGATTCTTTATAAACCCTCTGACCGATTCGAACAAAATTTTACATAGTTATTGTCTAGAAGCCTGCGAAAAATATAGACTCTATCATCTGACTCCATTCCTTGATTTCTCCCCTTGACACTTTGTGATAATCCGGGCAACGCCGGGTAGTCAATTATTATGTAATCTTACATTAAGAAAAAAAACTGGTTCATCTAACTAAAATTATCATTATTTTTCAGTCATATTTTGCTCTAACACAAAAATAACAGTAGTAACACGCACATAAGATTATTATCCCCAATATTATAATGGAATATAATAAACAAATAGTTTTCTTGGCCATAATGTGTAATAATTATTTCTCTAGGTGTGATTGTAGTTACAAATACCAAACATTTTTTTCATATTTATTTTACATTATTCTTATACCCTCCCCATATCTCTCGTCACCGTAGTATGTTATAAATAGAAGTAAAAATTCGGAAGTGTGTTAATAATCTGTGCAAGTTCAACGCACATTAAGGAATTTAGCATTAAATTTACCCGAGCACATGCGCGATCGCGCAAAGAGAGTTATTTGTGTATAGGGCGTGAAATCGGCCGGTCCTATATCAAAACACCTCCCCTGCTCCCTTCTTTGAGGGTGAGCGAGAGATCGCGTACCTGCTCGTACGCGGCTTAGTGAATCACGCGCGCTCCGACCGACGGTAATCCGAATGCGCTCGACTAAACGCCGCCATGTGTACAAACACTGACAGCCGGTCACGCACTTGCTAGTTAAGTTACGAGGGTGCTTAAGCCAGTGACGCAAGGCCCACCCCGCTAATCGTGGAAACCGTGGACATGGCGCGCACGACGACAACAAAAACACGTGGCGTCACGGTGACGGGAATAATTTCGCCGTCGCGCACCAAGTGCGAGCCATTCATGCAAACTTGAGCTTCCTGCGTTAATGCTATTTTAACAGCCCCTCCATCTACCCCACAAACCTTTCTTAAAACTCAATAATTTCTTTGAATATTTCATTATTGACAATTACTAATTAAAATCTGATACATGCTGCGTTGAAAAAAAATAAATATCTGCGATATTTTGCGGTGATTATAGTCAGTTCAAGAAATTGTAAAATCTAAACTGTAATTATGCAATAATACAGTATATGCTATTCTTCTTCATCTATGGTGCTCCCTTATCTATTAAGTTAAGCGGATGCCGGGGGATAACGCATCGTTCTGATAATTCCGCCCCGTCCTGTCCTACGCCTATGCCACTATAAGTCGGCGATTCTCCCCTGACCAAGAGTCATTCACGAGGCTAATTGCAGGGGCGGCTTTTCGCCCTATCGTCTAACCCCAAATCATCCCCCGTAATCCATAGGGATTTACACTCGCGATAATTGCATTAGCATTCGATGATTTTTATTGGATCGCCCAATTCGCAATAACGAATCATTTTCACTCTACGAGCTGTTTACTCCGGACTAAAATCGCATTCGTTTGCGACTGTTTCACGAGGAGCGTGCTCTTTCAAGCACGCGTGCAAATTTAATTAAAACAAAACCGAATAAACTTTTCGTTATAGCAAGATCAACGTGACATAAATACTCATGCAAAATAATAGCCTAGCATAAATTTATTTCGTATATTTCCATTATGCATTGTGAGAGAAAAAATATTTAAAAATAAAAGATATTTATTCGGTGAGTATACTAATAACATATTTACTAAAATCTAAATTCTTTTCTTAAATGAGATAAATAATAGTTCTCATAAAAAGCTAAGCTTCTAAAAAATGCACTTTGAAAAAAATTTTGTGTTAAATTTAACATATTCCCAATTTCTGTCCATTCTAATTTTTGTGTTAATTTAACACAAGACAAATGTGTTAAAAAATACTGTACATTTGCATATAAAATGTCACCAAGAATGTACGTGTTACATATAAATTGTGTTATTTTAACAGTGAAAAGTAGCAAATATATAAATAATAAGAAAATATATAAACTCAACGCAGAATAGTTAAAATAACACAATAACAATATGTTAAATTAACATACGAATGTATCAAAAATTTAACATCAGAGTCTTTACACGGATCGACTTTCACACAAATACAAAATGTTTTTACCGCATATATTTTCTTATTATAAAATAGTTATATATTAATATAAATAAATATGTTATTATATATATAATATCTCCCGAATATATGTAAAAATATTTTTTTATTTCTTACATTTTTTTCTAATTTAAGACTGCTTTAACAGCAAATTTCAAAAAGATATGTTCTTTTTTATAACAGGTTGCGCGGCGCAGCACGCGTTGCTGGGTAAGACCAGAAGGCCCAGGACCGCGTTCACGTCCCAGCAGCTTCTGGAGCTGGAGAAGCAATTTCGACAAAACAAGTACCTCAGCAGACCGAAAAGGTTCGAGGTCGCGACGTCGTTAATGCTGACAGAAACGCAGGTAAACGAAGATAATGATGTTGAATCGCGCATTAACTTTCACAAGAAATACCGATACCCGAAATTCATCGACAGTCCTAAGCCTGTGAATCATCACCGCGCGATAAGTATCGTGATTAGCGATTTTTACTGCTCACGTTCGAACGTTAAAAAAAACGTTAAGTAATGACGTGAGTCACCTATAACTTAAGGTCTGCGATAAAATGCAATAAAACGTAATTTTGCGCGCCCGCGTCGATAAAACCGACTAGTTATTTATACTCAGAGAAAAAGACATGGTGATAGCAATTATACATTGAGAGAAAAATATTTTATATTTATAATTATAATCATATAGGAAAATAATTACTATAAATTATGGATAATTATTATCAAGACAATCATTTTATAGTCTATTATATTATAATTTTAGTGATAATAATCTTATATGCATATTACTACCACTATCTTCGCGTTGAAATAACCAAAAAATATGGTTTAGGTCCAATTTAATCCTAATTATATTTTTTGATTGTCCTAATAGTAACATACATATAAGATTATTATATAAGAAAATTATAGAATTATACAATTAGTAAAATCATAGTACAATTGATTAAAAGAGGTTATCTTGACCATAATTTATAGTAATTATTTTTTATATATAATTATAGGTATTAATACAAATACGAAATGTTTTTTAATATGTAGCTAGCTACTAGCTTTCGATTCAAACCGGCTAGATACATTTCTATTCGGGTACATAAGTGACAACTTACTCATAATTTAACATACAAGTTCTGTATATTAAATTAGTTAGAATTCATGTATATAGTTCAACAAACTATTTTATAGTGATTGCAATTAAAGCTTTAGTAGCTATAACTGCAAAATAGTTTATTAAACTGTATTCATTATAATTCTACAGACAAGACTCGTATAGTTGTCATCTGTATAGCTGCCATCACCACGTTTCTCTCTGAATGCACTCTGCAAATATCGCGAAGAACGCAAGGTAATGGGACTCGGAGTGAATCGTCGATCGCCACGGCTGTCGCGATAAAACGTGAAACGTTGTAATTAATCAGGCCGCCGCTCGCGCAATCACACACACGGAACGATACGAAGATCGAGGCGAAATCGCTCGCGGAGGGCCATTAAGGACCGGATCGATCGTTCTCCGCGGCGCGAGCCAGCGCCGGAGTTGACGTCGAGAGTTAGCGTCGAGAGTCGTCCTCGATGAGGAGTTGAGCGACGACGTCGGCCGGTAAATAGCGCGAAAATGGAAATTCGCGAGGTCGAGCGGCAGGAAGGGAAAGGCAGAGCAGGGCAGGGAGCAGACGAACGACGAGGGGGGAAAAAGAGCCTCGAGAAAGAGAGAAAATCCCTCCGAATAATCCGAAGCCGCCCTTCCATTCGACGCAGTGCACGCGGATCTCCTCTCTTTCTCTCTCTCTCTCTCTCTCTCTCTCTCTCTCTCTCTCTCTCTCCTCTCGCATAGTTCAACAACTTAAACATAACTCCGAAGCTTACGAGCCCTGACGGATCGCTCGGCAAACAGGCGTGAAAGTCTGAGTTATGGCGGGCTCAGTCGCTGATTTGTTTCGATATTTTACCGATTCCGCCTCGCTCCTCGCCTCCGACTAGCGTCGTCCTCCTCCTCCTCCTCCTCCTCCACCTTCTCCTCCTTCTCCTTCTCCTCCTTCCCGCCTCCTGTTTCCCCATTTCCGTCTGAGTTCCGCGCTTGCAGAAACGCGATTACCGGCGATTTACTGTCCGAGTGCGAGCACCAGGACGCGAAGCGACGCGACAATCCGGCGAGGAGCGGACGTTTGTTTAAAAAAATAGCTGAAGCATCCTACGAGTCTCTGATCTTTTGTTTCTCTCTTCCTCTCGACCTTTCTTTCTCTGTGTTATAACTTTTGCCGTTACACCGAGTATTTCTTGACTTCTCTTCATATTAAAAGGATTAAAAAGTTCCTTTTTATAGCGACCGTATATTCCAAATAATTATGAGAGGGATATTACCGTCGAGTTCAACGTTGTAGTTCACAGAAAATTCACGAAACTCACTGGCACGACTATTCTGCTCGAAAAATCAAGTACGACGCGTTCCCTAATTAACTCAAGAAGATCGGTCGCGCGCACAGTCATGCACTAATCTTCTTCAATTAACGAAAAGTAGAGAACTTTTTTATTCAGTCAGTTTGATCTAATGTACAAAAGCGCACAAACACGGCGACGCCATCACATTGCTCGTCTATCGTATCGTGCGTAATCATTCGCCAATCTTCTTCAATTGATAAAATTGAACGTGGCCAAAATTTTACGTGATCGTTCGCGAAATCATAGAGGAATGTTGTGTCCTGTTTGAATTTTACTTGCACGCAACGTCAATAATTATCAAACATAATAACCAGATATCCGCTAAGATTAAGATTATATTCTCTTTGAATTCGCTGTCGCTGAATTGCTGGACTAATTAGAAGTCCACTGTGATATTCACGATTCAATCATCGCGAAATCGCAATTCACGATCGTAATCGTGCTAGTAACACGCGAGATTTACGGTGACGATTGTCAACAGGAAAAATATCTCCGGCAATTAGCGCGATCACGATCGCAAGATCGTATCGTATCGCCAGAAAACGCCTTGACGTCCTATGATTCATCGTCGTTTGGTTTCCCATGTACAAGGTGTCGATTAATTTCGCCTCGCAAAGTAATTTACAGCGCTGTTTCCTCTCTCTGTCTCTCTTTCCCCCCCCTCTCTCTCTCTCTCTCCTGCCGTCGTTCGCTCGCTCTTCATCGCGTCGGTTTATCACCGACAAATATTTATTTTCGCGCGTCGCTTTTTTTCCCACCTTCGATTCATTTTTTTCAACCGACTCGCTCGCGCGTACGATTCGCGCCTTCGCCCAATCCGCCCCCTCACCTGACCCCCGAATTCAACGCCGCGCTTGTTTACCTCGCGCTTCGAATTATTTGTTAACGCAACGCGAATGATTTACGTAAGTTGTCGTCGCAACGCCTATCAAATTATCCAGCTGATCGGAAAGCGATGGCGACCGTTATTTTGTCGCGGACCGAAAAGCGTAGACTTCGAGAGAAACGTTTTCGCCATAAATATCAAGTCTCTCCGTTATACAACTCTCGACTGTGTGACTCTTGCCGCTCGATTATTTCGTTATTTTATTTGCGTATCTGTCTACGTCGTCGCAGTTTCAAAATTTCAAGCCATAAAATATTAAAACTTTTTTAACTTTTTTAACTTTTTTAAAATAAACCTCCTGCAAGAACCTCAAAGCCCTAAAAAGTATGAAATAATTTTAAGTCGATATTTTCATGTATTTACAATCGTATCCTAATGTTCTAACAATATTAGAAGTTGGCGCAAAAATCTGATTGATTCAAATATATCTTTCTTTTATTATTTATCTCTCTACAATTATACAATCAGTTACTTAATTTGTTTTTGCATCGGTTAAGATGGAAATTATAAGTACAAAGAAATATTGAGTCGAAATTATTTCATACTTAAGACTTCCGAAGTTTCTGAAGGCGGATTATTTTGGTCAGAAAAGTTTTTCATTTCTCATACTTCCTAATTATTTACTAAAAGCTTGTTTTTCTGAAGTTAGTTAAGAAATGGTTTTTTATATCGCTTAAAAATAAAAGTTTCGTCTAAACGTGGTCGGGTTTTCAAGAGGATAATAGAATTGCCTACAATTTCCAGGTCATCTGGATAAATTCGGGCAATGACACTGATCTAAGAAGCATATAGATAACATACTTAACAAGTTACAAAAAGCTTCATCTCAATATCTCTAACGGTTCTCGAGTTATGAGGGGACATACAAGCAAACAAACAGACAGACCGAGAACCTCCTTTTTTTGAGGTCGGTTACAAATATTTCCGAATAAGAGAACGAATCGCTGAAACGCGGCGGATAAAGAAGCTAAATTTCTCTCGTCACACGTGAAATCCCTCATGGTGAGAATCGCGAGGATCGCGAGGATCCGGCGGGAGAGCGTCGTCGTTCCCGGACTCCCATTCGTATTCGTACGAGAAAACTGCGCGCTCCTACGGAGGGTAAAGATATAATACGGCCGGCGTGCCTGGAGGGGATTGGCCCGGGCGCATGATATGTTGTCCGAAAGATTTACATCGTTTTCTTACGATTGGGGAGGAAAAATCGAGTCCCTGTATCTGTCTACCTGATTTACGGTGTCTCGGGGTGGCTCACGTGACGTCCCGCGCTCATGGAGGCACGCATTCGCCAAATTAAATCGGGCGTGGATCAAATGTCGAGAGTTCGCATCCGGAAGAAACTCGTCGGCCCCTTCGACATAACCAATTAACAATCTCGTCCTCATTACGCGTCTCCTACCATTACGTGCGAAAGTACATGTTCAAACGTACTATATGACGTCAAACTGCGCACACATACAGGAAAATATTATTTTGCTAAGAAAAGTGATTGTTCGGTTTACCCTCCTTCTTTTAAGCAACGGTTATCTTTAACAAGGAAGATTTTCCTGATAATAATCTTAAAGTCACCATAAATTTTATAAGAAGCTTATCATCATATACTCAAAATAATTTATTTTCTTTACAAGAATATTGTAGTACTTCATTAAAGAAAAAGTTGGTTAAATTCTACACTGAGAGAAATAAAAAGATATCTAAAAATGTAAAACATTTGTTCGGAAGTATACTATTAACATATTTACTTGTACTAATATATGCATATTTTTAAATTAAAGATACATCTTTTTTAAATGAAGAAATACGGTTTTCTAAAATCGTTGTAAAAGTAGAAATTGTTTATTCCATTTAAACAAGAGAATTTAGATTTAAATAAATATGTACCTATTATAAATATGTATAAATATGTACCCATTATAAATATATACCAAATATCTTTTCTTATTTTTTAGATATTTTTCTCACACAGTGTATCTATTAAGCAAACCGAGTTTTTGTCTTAACATAACATGCTTCAATGAAATGTGGAATTCACTAGTTAGATTTAGGGTTCAGAATGTACTTTGAATAAATGTAATGGGCTTCTTAATGAACTGGTGATAAATTTGCGGATATATAATCTCGTGAAATACTTGAAATAAGTAACATTGACTTGAATGCAATATGTTCTTTTCTATGCGTGGTGATTCTCCTTTTTGCGCGCGGCATTATTCACAACGCTGTCATAATTATCTGAAATTAAACACAATATGGACTCCCGACGCCGAAAAGCGTTTTGTCAATACAGATATCAGCCGCAATAGATAGTTGTTAGTTCCCCGAAGTCGCTTATCGTTACGTAATCCTTGTTCTCTCTTTCTTTGTCTCTTTCTTTCTTTCCGCCAATTTGCACGTGACAAACAAACTCGACAAGTACGTCCGACCTCGAGTGACAACGCAATGTTGTTGCAGGTGAAAATCTGGTTTCAAAATCGACGGATGAAATGGAAGCGCAGCAAGAAAGCGCAGCAGGAGGCTCGCGCGAGCGGAAAAGTTGAGGACACCGGAAGCACGAGGAGTACCGAACGAGACGCCGGAAGTGACGTTAGCGTCAATGCACCTGGCACTCCGGAAGAGTCCAGGGGAACGCTCCAGGAGAGCCAAAGGACCGGCACGGATCTACAGGAACCCTTGTATCGGCCTTATGTAGTTTAAAGGACCAATGAGGGGCGCGTTTAACCCTCGGAGGACCAACGTACCTCAGAAAACTCTCCCAGTATTTTCATTCGTCGCTCATTTTAATTTGCTTGCAATGATTTCACAATCTTAACAGGTAGATGGCAAATATTTGTCTGTGAATGTCATTAACTTCATAAGGGAAAGGAATGAAGAGGCATGCTTCTTTAGAAGGATTTTCGTTGGTCCTCTAATGGTTAAAGACGAGTCATCCTGTGTGCTTCTTTCGCTGATCATTGCCTAAAAATGATCTTTTCGCGGCAAGAGATCTTGTTCGATTCTTAAGATTGGATTCTTCTTATTTCGACTGAGCGCGCGCACGATTGTTCTTGTATGAATACTTTCATAATAAAAGGCGAGAATGCCACGCTTCACTATCAATTGCAAGTATCATTTTTCGTAGTCAACTCTGACAAAGAAGGTTGCCGTGACTTATTGTTGGGGATCGGAACCGCTGCGATTCTGACGTTTCCGATTTCTCGCGTTGCGGGCGCAGCGTGAACCGTGGCTCACGCCGATCCATCGCGTTACCGTCGATCCCTGCCAACTACCGATCCCGTTTTCTACGAAGAACAACCGATCTCGTGTACATATATGTATCTCATCCCTGCAATTCGCCATAATAAGCCAAAATTCCGATGTAAATAGTGTTGCGTACGAGACGGAAATCGCGATCGCGAACAGTACCTCGCTTGTTCATCGCGGTTAATTATCCCACCGACGTCACCGTCGAGAAGCGTTTCTCGCTCGGGGTAACGCGATCGAATTATCCATGCCTGTCGTCCGCGGGACGGAGAAGACGCGGACTGCAAACGATGTGACGCGACCGAAGGATGTATGTATGTGTGGGTGTGTATGTACGTGTGTATGTGTATGCGTGCATGCGTCGTGATCGTGTGCGATCTAGTGATACCAAGTAAATTCGCCTCGGGATCTGCGGAGGATCTGCGAGCTGGATGCCATTTAGCTTAAGTCCGTCGTGTACATAGACACTCTAGAGACTATTTATTCTGTGTTCGCTCGGCTTGTAAGATAGAGACGTCAGACAAACGCGCCGGGGCCGCGACGTTGTTAATATGGACGGTGAAAAGAGACGACAGGGTCGCGGGATTCTCTCTCTCTCTCTCTCTTTCCCCTCTCTCTCTCTCTCTCTCTCTCTCTCTCTCTCTCTCTCTCT